TCGCGATAAATTGCGATCTAGAATTTTTTTAAAATTTAGTACTTATTAAAATATAGTGCAAAAATATGCAGTGTACACTGAACACGTGTTCATATTCACACAATTAATATACATACAATATTACATACACTCACTATTTATTTATTTATATTTTTGTTTATAATTTCACATTAGGTAAAAAATGTTTAATAATAAACAACTATATATTCTGCGTTAACTATCCTATATTTTCATAAACAATGGACGTAAGTGGTAATATTTAAATTTACGTCGCAAAAAATAAATACTCGAGCTTAAAGAGCATATTAACAAAATTTACATCCAGAAGCACTACGGATAAGTTGAAGTTAAAGAAAAGTACCATTGATTGAAATATATTTCATTTACGGATTAAGTGGTATTAAATTGCATTTTAATTTAATTCTTCATTCTAGTTCGATGATGATAAATGTCTATGAAGGCGACAAATATCTGAATGATATAATTTCAATAATCACAATTGAATCTGTCGTTCAATAAATGTGAATGCACTTTTTGAATAATTTAATATATTTAAGAAAATAAAATAACCGTTCTGAACAAGAAGTTTATGTTTAGCCAAAAAATCCACGCTGATAAAATTATTTTTTCTTGGAGATTCAAGTCATTCTGAATCATTTACGACCAGAATTGGAAGAAGTTCGTGCGTGTATATAAGTTAATTATTGGCCTTTCGTCAAAGTTTTACCAAAAACAAATAAATCAGTTTATGGATGCAAGCGACTTCCCTGTGATTTATCTGAATCTGAATTTCTTAGAAAGACGGATTGATGATTGAAGGACTATTTATGAACAGGATGCATTACAATGTAAGGGATTATTTTGTACTTCGAAATAGTTTGATAAAAGAGATTATAGCTATCCTGCATGAAGACCAGGGTTGAGCCGTAGGCGTTAACATAGTCACAATCGCAAGTAGCAAAGTTGCTATATCACAATTCGTATTAAGTATGCCGATTATTCACACATATCGGAAAATATTTCCAAACTTTACTAGAGGAAAAATGCCACGTACACCTAGTTTATAATCAATTTTGATGCCAAACTGGTGACCTACGAGGTTTGTGATGAAGACAGAGCAGGAGCATGAATCGGAAATTTAAAAAAATGTAGACTTTGATGCAGCACCATAATCACTGGTCTTCCGTGACTACTTATAAGGTACGTCCAGTCCTCGGGTCAGTGCGAGTTAACCCATTTACTCTACTGATACCGGACTTCTGTTGGTATACCCATTTTGTATACCCAGACCTCAGTGTTTATTGCTGACACAAAAATTAATTCTGAGCCTAGACCCTGGGTCATGAATTGAATTCACTAACAAATGATTCATTGGAATCGCAATTCAACCTCTCCTAGTCCGTTAACTCACCAAATCGTCTTTTGATGCATAAGACTTTCGTGACTGCATCTTGTCAAGTTGATAACTCTTTAATACGCTCTCCTTCGAATCACATCCGATTCGAGAATCCGATGTATGATTCAAAGGGCTGCAGAAGTCGAAAAGATTATTATAATCATAGCGAAAATCCATATTTTTACAGAGCGCCATCTATTTACCAATAGAATAATAATATTCGCCAAAATATTATAGAAATTAAAATAAATACAGTAGAGTGGGGCTGAATCTTCGAAGTTTACCAAGACATCGAGGTTCAGGAAATTTACCACGTGATTTATATTCAGAACCATATGCAAAGTATGAAGATGATGGAAGGTCGAATTACCTACCATACGGTGGATCTGCCGACGAAACTGTCATTTATTCTATTGGATGAATTTCTAATTGACCAGTACCACAACACTGCTATAATCTGCTTTCCCACCATATATTTATAACGTGTTTCCCTGTATTTTTTAAACTGTTAGATCAACACTGGGCAGGGAGTGTGTGGGAAATCAAGCAGGCTAGACATGGAGGAAAAACAAAAATCACTTGTCATTTTATTTGATCATAAAAATTTGTAATTAATAAATTGTTTATATTTTCATCCAATGGATTTTATATTTTTATATTCATAACTATTTCCTACAAGTGAAAAGGAACTCCCACACAAATTGCTTAACTAATACAATAGATTCATGAATATAGCAGATAATTAAATAATGGTAAATTATCTCTGCTCAACAAGATGCTTGTGGCACATAATACATAACTTCGGTAAATCAGTGGAGACAGCTAGGCTAAGTACATTACATTAACTGTTATTGCAAATGACTCGCTCACATGAACCATCAAGTACAAGAATTGTCTTGGGTGGGCGATGTGGAATGCCGTGATGCTGCTGGTGCAGACTATATACTATATGTGCTCTGCATATGTCGTTCTTCTAAAAACCTTCTATAGATGCACTTGAAAATCACGAATGTGTGTGGGATGGTCGTAAAGCCTTACGATCACTGCTTCATTATAGTAAGCGAATGTTTTAGAAGACTTGAATTAAAACGGTACATCGATATTCGCAAGGGAAATACAAAGATTTAGAATAGATCACAGATATAAAAAAGAGCCGGATGTTGTGCAGATTCTTGACATAACAAGAAACTTGTATATTATTTATAATTTCTACGCGCCTACACATTTATGTAAATAATATTATTGAATCGAAAGAACTCCAATGGTATCAATGTTTATTATTCGAATCATAAGAAAAAAATTGAAAATTATTCATTTGCAGACATAGAATTTCTTGAAAAAGGTTAAAGCATTTGGTTTTTACAACTTTCGGGATTTAAAGATTATGGTAGGTCATCAAGTTTGCAACTATAAATTTATATAGAATAAGGTTGCTTAAATCGTACCTCCAAAGGCAGTAATGCTGTAATATTGAATAAAATTAATTTTTTTTTAAGTATTTGTCGTTTATTGATTCATGATGTTACTGGCTTATGATCAACAATTACTGAAATTTCGATGGATTTTCTTTTTCTACTTTCGGTTCGATTAAGGCGCCTAGTTGCCTGAGTCGTAGCACCTACATCCTTAGTCGAATTTACTATTAGAAAATATATAGTCACTCTGAAATCAACTTTTCTTTAGTTAGTAATTTTTATATTTAAATTGAACACAATTATTAAAATAACAGCAAAAATAAAATAATATTCTCAAAAAGTAAAAAATAATAGTTTGCTGGTTCAGATCCGGCTCGAATGACCATTTATGGTGAGGATCACTCTGTTCAATCAATTATTTAGCGAATTGTAAGTAAGAATTATCCCATCACCATACAAAGATGAATAAAAACAACTATTTACTTTGATATATGTATATTGATGTTTAATCTACAAGCTTCTTCTCTCATTTTTTTGTTAGACTCTCAAAACTTATAAGAAAGTGCAGGTATTTTTATGCACACTCTCTACCCCGAAGATTTACGGGTTAAATACAAAAGGCCTTGGTCAGATCTTAACCAAAATTATTAAGATGGGTGTTAAAAATGGAGATGTAACTCAAGAAGATACAGCCATTATAGAAATTAATGGCCATTAATAAATTTATATCACTTGATTTTACATATCTAATCAGAGCAAAAATTTTGCAATATTGTATTATTCATTATTTGTTCGCATTTATCAAAAAAATCTATAAAACGGTCTCCATAAAACCGGTACAAATAAAAAAATTTAGACAGGTGCGACTTCAGCTGCAGGATCTTCTTGAACTTAAATTCTATCATTTAATTATGCCTAAACGATTGTCAAATAAGTAACATAAATAAACCTTGGTAAGAAAATTGTCTATAAACATAATGTAACCCTCATGAAACACCTAAGACTGAGAGAAAAATGTTAGTGGAAAATTCAAAACAACCTTACTTTTTGATTATTTGTATTTCACAAAGTCGGCCAGCCAGCCTTCCAATTGTGAAGGATTTTAAGTGAGGTTTTTAAGGAGAGGGGCGTTTGACAAAAAATCACAAAATATCACGTGGGGGAAAAAGGGGTATATCACGTGTATTTATTTTTTACATGATTTTTTTAAATAAATTCAAATATTTTCAATGAAGATTCAAAAATTTTACAGTTTTATCATGAAACTAGAAATCAATGTAATGTTTGGTGGGGGAGGGGGGTTAATTTTGAATATCACCATGTATCACCAAGGAAGAGGGGAGGGGGTTCAAAAATCCTTAAAAACTCGCTCACGTGATTAATGGACGCCCCCCAATATCATAGAGTTTGACTTTTTAAAATTAGAATTTAAAAAAGAATTAGTAGCTATCTTCACTGCAAACTTCTAAAATCAAACTTTAATTTTATATATTTCCATAGGCCTCGAATATTTTACCACGGTCAGTTTGGGCATATAATAACCATTATGCCAAGTTTCATCAAAATCCAAAACAAACTTCGCGCGCGTTGCCCTCATTAGTCAATGGTATGATTTGTTCAGAATTTGTCCTAATATAACCAAAAACAATTTTCATAATTGATTATGTTAGAGAACGAATTCATCTCATTTAGTCGATTTACCGAAATATAGTGTGGGATCATAGTAGACTGGACATAACTAATCATAACTGATAAGTTAGAGAACGATTTCATCTCATTTAGTGAATTTGCCGAAAGATAGTGTGGGATCATAGTAGACTAGAAATCAGATCGGAACAGATGAAATTTGACATGTCATAATATTTAATTTTTCCAATCTTCAAGTCGTCGATCACCAATGTAGAAATATTATTATTTGTAATTATAATTTCCATCTTTATAAATATTGTATTATAAAATTTCTTAACAAAAATAAAAATTATGACATGTCAAATTTCATCTATTCCAATTCGATGTCCAGTCTACAATAGAAAGCAGTTAGAAATGTAAAAAATATAACTTTTATAGTTAGGTTAGTATTGAATAAAATATTGCAATCTATTTTTAATCCATCACCCGTTACTGCAATCAGATCAGAGATAAGTAGCCGTATGTATAATTGTGAAGAAGTATGTAGTTATAATTATTACAAGAAGTCTTCCTCCTCTATCCAGCAAAATTGTTCGCCCGTTGAGGAGTCCACGGGCCACGATCCGCGCGATGGATGCGGTGTGTAGGCTCGCACAGGAAAATAGGCGCCACGTTGTCCGGCGCGCGTCGGCAGATCAAACGCCTTCAATCTCGGTAACCGTTTGATTCGCATTCACCTTTCGTTTTGGACGAGCGAGATTCCAGATGTAATTGTACACGTAACAGAAGAGCTGACGAACATTTCCAAGTACATATTTTCGATCGATTGATATCTTGTTCTCGATTTTGGCTTGTTTCTTTTTAATATAACAGCTCGTATATTGCATATGTGTAGACATAAATCTAATTAATGTATACTGTTAGGTCTCAACGCCACCAAAAACTTAAAACTCTCGCAAAAGGGAAAATAAACATTTTTATGTCATATTGAATTTTGCACAGTAATATTGCATTTACAAGAATAGTGGTATAAATAAAAATGGACTAAAGCAGAAATTTTGTGAAAAGTATGCTAAAACGATTAGCAGCAGTTAGCATATCAATAGAACACTTCTAATATTAAAATGTGTGATTTGCATTAATTCGTAAGTTGAAATTTTTTATTGAAAATATTACCAAGATAGAGTAATATAAAAGAATCTAAAAGAATCTAATAAACATTGCAAAAAACTGATTGATTGCAATTTTGTTTAAGATCTTCGCTAAAAATTGTAATTACACCCACTACGCTGGGTGATAAGCCCCAAACTTAATATTAAAAAAATTGTATATCGTCCCTGTGAAATGAAATCGACATATCTGCGAAATGCCTATTTTTAAGGTGACCATACTTGTGTCCCGAATTTTTCTTAAAGCAATATTTGTTCCAGATTTTGATTTTTTGTCCCGGATTGTCCCGGTTTTCCGAAAATTAATAGTTAAATGAACAAATATTAAGAAAATAAACTAACAGATGTTATTTTATTCAAATTCGAAAAATATAAGATATAATATCATAGATAAAAAAGCATCGTTCAAGTATTACGTAAGCAGATTTACTACAATTATTTACCCCCCCCCCTCCCCTTTGTCAGCAAAAGTAAGCAAATATCTTACCAAAAATAAGCAAAATAAGCAAATCAATATCCCCCCGCCCCCTATAGTGCTTACGTAATACTTGACTAACGACTAACAGACCCCCCCTCCCCCGATTAGCATGACTAAAAATTGCCGTCCCGGATTTGACTTAAAAAAATTTGGCCACCTTACTATTTTACACAAAAGCACTTTAAAATGTAATATATTCTATTCTACGTCCATTTAGTTCATCTATATCTATTCATACGTTATACCAAAAAATGTATTTTTTGAGTAAATTTTGACATATTATTAGATAGACCTCAAAAGTTTCGAATCTTGAAGAGTAACAAAGGTCTCAAAAACAACGTTAATAACTATATACCTATATATCCCCTAAATACCTTTAATAACTTCTAATTTCCCCAAAAAATGTATATGCTAACTAGAAGGATTATCCGTACAAAATATCAACTTTATCACTGGATAAGTGCTATGAAAATATCGCCATACCATCCATATACTGCATAAAATAATGTTAGAAAATTATAAAATTCACATTGTTTTCAGTAAAACAAATAAAAATTAGTTGCTTAAAAGCTGTTTTGTTGTTAATACTGATTTATAACCAAAATCGCATACTATTGTTTTTGTGTTGCAACTACATATCAATGTCACCTTTAAGGAATTTATCAACTGTTGCTGTAAAACATCTTTTTCCAAATTGATCGATATAACATTAGCAAGAGAAATCAATTTCCTCTAAATCAATTATTCTCAAAGTAGAGGTCCACATCAGCAGAAAAAACTTTGAGATCCAAGAAATAAAAATGGGGGACGACAAAATGAAATAAAGACCATAGGTAGGAACTCATAATATCAATCGATCTAAAAACTAAAGAAAACTTAGTATATTTTTATAAAAGTTTATGAAAAAAAACAATATCGGGTGTATAGGGAGTCTATGGCAAAGTTTGGCAAAGCCCAAGCTGTCCACAACACAAAATAGTTCGGAAACCTATGCTTTATAGTATAGAATAGAGTCTATCTATCTATAGAAAGTATAATCTTTGATAGTGAAAAATAGAATCTATAATCCACTATTAATATTATTTGCTCTACCCGAAATCTATTGAAAACTGTTTGCCAGCTGTGGGTCTAATATGACGTAGTCGCTTTCAAAGTTGGGCGGATGACGCTGCCAGCCCGCTCTCAACGTCTACGTAAAATCACTACGGTTTCCTAATATGTTCAGGATTGTTTGGTATCGCAACTTATATAGATGTACATTGCTCAACTGCTAATAAGATAATTGGATTTAGTGAAATCAGTATCAATCAACTCCCAACGATGTCGTAATTAATAATCGAATCGAATTGAGTCAAAAAAATAATATGCAGTGGTATGTTGAAAAATGATTTTTTTAAAGACAAATTATGCATTGCAGGGTGCTACTGCTAACGCATTAATTGCTCACATTTGGTTTAAATGTTTTAAAGTTCTCGCACATTGAAGTTTGCCCATACAAGAAACATTTGAACTGATTTTCAGTAAAATGCACTAGCAAATATCATGTCAATTTTAGGTTTTCATTTTTTAATTGTTTTTTCCCCATATTATAAATTATCAAGTATTTTACCATTTTAGAATTCTGATTATACGCGTCAACTTTGGATGGAACTGATAAACTGGTAAATACACCTTAGTACTTTTTTCAACGGAGGGCATCTTTTTTTTAAATATATATTGAATGGCAATCAGAACCGTTACATTCTACAAGCCAACGGGCTATAATTTTGATCCCCATTTAGGAGGATCAAATACGGCGTGGTAGAAGATTTCCAGTGAGATACTTCTACTTTGCTAAATGAGATATCTAGGTTGCTTTTTCTTGAGCATCTTAAAAAAGACTGATTTAAATAAAAATCATAGTTTAACTTAAAGTCTTAAGTCAAAACTTCGAACAACTGTATCATTATTTTTGACAAGAAATTATAATTAATTGCAGATCCAAAGTTTAAATGAACAAAATTAATAAAAAATAACCACAATACTCTAAAAATGGCCACAATTTGCCCAAAGTTCTGAGTGCACTTAAATGCTTATAATTTTCGAACTACCTGAACATTATTTTAACTTATATTATAGTCTAAAAGTCGTAATTAAATATTTTTGTATATCTTCACATTTTGAAGGCTTCTGAACATTCTGGCATACCTTAGACAAAAATGAATTGTGTGTGTGTGTTTTGTGTATCCATGTTTTCGGTTTACGTTTAGAATGGTTCAAAAACATTCGATTTCTATTGATGTGCTGATTAAATTTCGGAAAAGGCAGGTTCAGCCATTTCGGAGATACGGAGCAAAGAGCGCAAAAAATAGAAAACAAATTTTTAAGAGAACGAAGCTTACGATTTGAATGACCGATTGGTGACTAAGTTTTGGAAAAGGCAGGTCCAGACATTTCGGAGAAACGGAGCTAAATGTTAAACAATGTTCTTTATTTTAAATCCGATTGATTTAGTTTTGTTTATTTACTTTTCTGCAACACATATACGTCGCCCAATTCGTAAACTCTTATATTTTGTCTATAAAATAAAAATAATAAAAGTTACAGTATTTATAATAATCTATTTGAAAACATTTAATATTCATCGAATATTTCGTTACGATACGGGAAGTTCCAGCAGTTGGCCTTAAGGGACGATGCCATATGCTACTAGTTTTCTGATTTTTTTATGGTAGTTACGTTCAAAACTGCTCGACTTCGAGTTCTGGGACACCACGTATAAGGCTACAAGGTTACAGGACTAACACAAATTATAAAAAAAATTAATGTTAAGAGCTTTTATTTATTGTGCTATTGTTTTTAGTGTGGCAAGAACATATGTATATTTTGAAAATCGCGCGGGCCAACATGAACGACTACATCAATCGCTTAATTAATTAAGGCAGGTGTCGAACAGGTGGATCGGTATTCGAAACGACCGCGACCGTGCATACCGCTTGCTTATGCGGTACAATGGTGACGATTCGCATTACAAGGAAACGAGCATTTCAAATAGTTCTGCGGAATTATTTTATATGCAGGAATTTCTGTGCAAATTTTTTTCAAACGTTTTTCAGCACGAACGCGCACGTGTGTCCGTCCGTCCGGCCAGATGTTCAATACCAGTTTTATAATTAGGGCCATTTATTAATATTATGATTAGCACAACACATTCATGTAGAGCTGCTCATACGTTTATATACAACTAATTAACATATTTACTATGAAAAACTTGTGGATGTTGCTTATTTATACAGTTAATAAATACGATTTGCGAGCGATGCGAATTATCGTCAATTTCATATCTGTGGAGTTATCTAGTTTCGAAATACGTTAAAATACATTTTCCTTACATTTGGTACTATATAGTGAAATGTGTTAATTAAAATGTATTGCAAATTATATGACATATTTTATTTGTTTTTTTTTTTTATTTAGAATTAAATTATTGAATTTTGTTACCTAAAGAACAGACACTATAAATCTGTTCATAATAAGCTGTGATGTAAAATATTTGCCACTAAAGTATCATAAAATAATGTATAATATTATAAAATAATGAATATCAGCACAGTATATCAACTGATCCTTTCCATGATGTTGCTAATTCATCTCTTCCTTGATGATTGTTGAAGTGCACTATTTTTCATTTTTGTTCAAATTGTATTTTTGAAAAATACTTGTATCAATATTTAACATTAACCTTTTGGTTAGAAATAGTGAATATCAGCACAAAATTTCAACTGTTCCTTCCCATGAAGTTTTTAATTCATCTCTTCCACGATGTTTGTTGAAGTGCTTTATTTTTTATTTTTGTTCTCAATTATAAAAATTCAATTTGTTTTCCTGAAGAACAGTCAGTTATAGAAATCTTTAACAAGCTTTGGTGTTAAAGGTTTAACTCAAAATTTAATGTTAAACATCAATAACTAATGTTAACGATTTGTGATAGATTAAATAATGAATGGAAGTATATGCAACAGTTTCTTCCTGTTATATTCTATTGATCGTAGTTTATCATTTTAATGAAAAGTCGCGGAAAAATGTATTTGAGATACTAATTCGATA